CATGTACGCGTATACAAAGAAGCAATTTTACTACGAAATCTTTTATCACTTTCCGGATTTACATGGCCTAATGGCACTATCCGTTAATTCTAGTAATCTAGAGTACGTTTACGCAAGCCACGATTCCGCGGTACCCTGGCACCTACAGTACATGAGTGCAAAACAGCATCACTTTGTTAGATCGAACAAAAGAATTTTCGAACGCCATCAACGGATATATCTCGATCCACATGGACCTACAATAAAGCTTAAGCTTAACTCCCGTATTAAAAATTTTGCAAGCAAACTGTCGACACCAAGAATAACAATCTTCTGCTACTTCTCTTAGAATTATCAGTTTGTTAGTAAACCTATAAGACTATAATCAAATTTATTTTTATGACAAGATATGAAATACACTTTAATAGCTTTGTCCTTTGGAAAAAGTCAAACTTTCAGATGAAACGATGCGCTAGCATAATTTCTTGTCACGTATCCGTTAAACAGCTCGTATGCATTAAACACTGACTCATGATCTCAAGGCAAAGTATTTACCATATCTGAAGTTTGATTTTCTTGCCGTCCAGTTCGATGGTTCGAATTTTGAAGTCAATTCCTGAAACGGTGCAAAACGATGAATGAGAAACGGGTGATGACCGTCGTAAAACCCATAAGCAAAAGCTCACCAATGGTGGATATGAACGAATTGTTGAAAGAGTCCTCAGAGAAGCGAAACAAGAGGCACGTCTTTCCCACGCCGCTATCACCGATCAGCAGAATTTTGAACAAATAATCATAGGTCTTGGCCATCGCTACAGACAGCTCAGACAAAAGGTTCTTGTGACGAAAAAACAACACGCTAAAACGCAAAAGGTAATAAATCTGTTACGATATTATGATCGCATGTTTGCTCAGGATTTAAAACCTTCATTGAGAAATTCATAAATATACAAAACATCTTCATCCAGATAAAAATAAATATGTACCTCGGATCGGCACGTATATTGAACCTAGATCCAGCTAGATCCGAAACGTTGGAAAATTATTTAGTAAAATTTATGCGTGGCGTAAACCCCTGTATTGACGCAGATAAAATAAATAAATAGTTAAATACAAACAGAAATGACGTAAACTTTGTCAAGAACAGTGAAAAAAAAATATATACCTTAAATAAAGAAAACTTTACAGGTGGAAGTAACTTTCCAAATTTCACGCCGATGAACATAATACCAAAAGAATCAAATGACGGGGAGTAGGACAACTGGAATAAACATGGTATAAAAATGTTATCGATAACGCAATAAAACTGAATAAACGAACGGTAAGACGTGTCTACAAGTACATTTTTGTACAAAGTAGTCGCAACCCTGTGCAAGGCGTAATGCATTATATGCTCTCAATTTTACAGAGAATATTTGCAAGCAGAATGTAAAATATGTACATATGTGGAACTCTGTACGGAATGTTTTGTCTCAATGAAATTTTCTAACGCCTGTCTAGTCCATAGCAAAGCAGTAGCAAACTAATTTAACCATTTATGTTAAATTAATGCATGAGTGCAGAATCAGATTTTATTGTGTACTGGATCGCCTTCTTGCTCTTAGTTGCCTACGAGGCCATTTAAAGCAGGGCACGGTTTAATGGTATTTGAGCAGTTGCAGCATCAGATGCAAGTCACATCATTTTCTCGTCTACAGCCACCTCGCGCAGACCATGCGTGCTTCTCAGGAGCTGGTACTCCATTTGTACTACCGCATACATATCATAATCACGTTCGTACACCGGAAAGATCTAGTCGTCGAGCAGTCATTCGTTATTTGTAATACTCAGGCGTACGAACAGCTTATGTTGTCTATGCATTAGCATATAAGATACCAGCATTTTCAGCATTGTTCGTAGCGAGGAAAAGGTGTGGGATCCATTAGTACAGCAACTGCTCAAATACCGCTGTGTCATGACTTGCTAAAACGTCCCCTGTAGGCAACCACGAGCAATAGAGCAGCTGACGCACTCTGATGTACGATCATTCTCGAAATTTGTGCTATCTATAAAAGCAAATATGTACCGAAACAGCAATTATTAGCAACCTATTATTAATTCTAGCGCTTAATGTATTATGAATTTAAAATCTAAAGGTAAGTCTAAAACTCAACTTCTTCAGAACGCCTATCACTTTGAAACATAACAGCTCAGCAGTGAAACTCAGGACATTTAAAAAAGGCACCTCTTACGGTAGATGTTCAGTCAGAGATAAAAAGGTTTCGAGACATTTTGAGGGTTCCGTGAGATTTACTTCCTTTTGGAGTTTAAAGCTGGTTCAACGAGGCGAAAGCCAAGAAGTCATGACACCTCAAACTGATCGATCGCTTAATTCTGTCCAAATATTCAGCCTCACAGAAGAAATTCAAGCGACCCATAAAAAATCGATTATGTCCGCATTCCCAGTTGAACACATCAGTTGATTAATGAAGCAAATATCATTTTGCACCAAGGTTGCACTGATGATACAAAAGAACATTATAATACATGATACAAACAATTTCTGTTTAGCGTTATATATTAACTTAAAATTATACCCGCAATAGTTATTAGCGAAAATTTACTCTTATAATTTTAATAAGTTCGTTTTTCCTTCTTGTTAAATTACTTCAGTACTTACTTATGAGCTATTCGTCTACTCTTACTACTCATTCTTTCTTACACATGGGCCGCCATAGGCTTAATCAATAGTTAGTATTTAGTGGGTTTCTTAATTAATTGCTCA